GCCGCAAAATTGGGACTCAGATAAGACCAAAGGGTTAAAATTGCTTCGCAAATATCAAATCTGAACGCGCCATAGAACGCGCGCGGCTTCCGTTCCGCAGCGACGGAACACGTTCATCGCGGCTCATAATCTTCCGCGCGCCTTGCTCGAACGTCCAAACAGATCCTGAATAATTTCTATCGACCGGCCGCCGCTCGGCGGAGGGTGCAGGTGTCGCACCCCGGTGTCGCGGAAAAAGCGCAGGCGAGACACCCGAGGCGGAAAGAAGTCCTCCGGCGTGGTTAATCCGCTCGAAATGAAAAACAAACTGCGTCTCGCAGCTACTTCTGCTAATCCTTTCTGAAAGGGACTGAAGAGAAAGAGAGAGAGAGAGAGAGAGAGAGAGAGAGAGAGAGAGAGAGAGAGAGAGGTGGGTCGTCGAGCTGCCGGCTTAATTCTTAGAGACTGTAATTCGAATCCTCTCGGAGCAGGTCCGAGAGCGCGACGGATATTTTTCACAGCCGATTTTTCGCGCGATTTCTCGCGAAATAATAAGCGCGCGGAAAATAACCGTATCGAGAGTCCTGACGGTGTTGCAACCGATCGACTCGAAAACGTTCTCGAAAACAGTGAATCGCGACTTTGGAAAAAATTGTGGCTCGAGAAAAATTTCCGAAAAAAAGGAGATTTCGCGCGGAGACGCGAAATATCGCGCGGCTCGCCATTTTGCCGGGCGTGCGATCCGCCGCGCGGAGAACGCGAACAAGAGAATCGCGACGGCGATAAGAGGAAGCCGTTAATTGAGCGGCGGCCGCGATAAGAGGCGAGGGGCTGTTATTGTCAATTAACGCGGCGATTGGTCGGGATCCGACGTCGTCGCGCGTCGCAACGCTGCCCGAACAATGGCAGAAGCACCGTTGCGTGGCACAGCGAGCGCGATGCGATCGAATTTCAACGATCCGTCCGGATCTAGGATCGATCGCGGATCTATCGGATCTAGAGCGCCTTCGGTTTCCGTGCGATCGGCGACTTTTTCTTTAGCGACATATCCGACACGTGCGCGACTATTTCGCTCGCCCGACCGTCGCCGGACCTGTACTACTCGCGCGGATTTATTCGAGGACGACGCGGCGCGTTCGATTCGCTTTTGAGAGCTTTTCTTTCTTCGATAGTCGTCGAAACGACGTCGATGATGCGCCGTCGAAGCGATCGATGGACGTCTCTCGCAATGTTCGCTGAAAATGAATGCCGAATTCCGATTATAAAGAATATAAAAATGTAATGATAAAATGGGAAAATATTGTAATAAGATGCAAAGATATGATAATAAAGTGTGAAAATATAATAATGAAATATAAGAATGTAATAGTAAGTTATAAAAATGTAGTAATAAAATATGAGAATATAGTAATAAAATGTAAAAATATGGGAATGTAATAGTAAAATATAAGAATATAATATTAAGAATATTATAATATAATATATATATATAATATAATATAATAATATATATATTAATATATAGATATATATATATTAATGTATATATATTAATATATAGATATATATATATTAATGTATATATATTAATATAACAATATAATAATAATATAATATTAAGAATATTATATTAAAAATATAATAGTAAAATATAAAAGTGTAGTAATAAAATATAAGAATATAATAACAAAATATAAGAATAAAATATAGGAATATAATAACAAAATATAAGAATATAATAATAAAATATAAGGAATATAATAACAAACTATAAGAATATAAGGAATATAATAGTAAAATAAAAAAATATAGCAATAAAATATAAGAAATGTTAAAAAAAGCAAACAAAATAACCTTGACAAAACGCGTGCTAGACGGTCAACGAGGCGCGACGGATTTGCCGGTGCAGGAAAATGAAAATTCGGAAGAGAAACGAGCGAAGAAGAAATTAGAACGGAGATCGAGGACTGGTCAGGCATTGTTCGCGAACGATAGGAATCGGTAATCGTGAATAAATCAAGGGACGCGCGACATTTCCATCTCGTTTCGAGCTAACGAACCGTGCCTCCTCATCGATTCGTTTCAATCGGCCTCCGAATTCCGCCTCCTCGTCAAGGTTAGACAGATTTCCGGTACCGCTTTCGATTCTACGAATTAAAATTTACGCCACTTACGTAGCGAAGAAAATACTTTTCGAAAGCACGACGCGCGAATTCAAGAATGTAACAGGCTTGTCTGAAAATAAGCTGAAGGAAAATTAGGGAGAATTACCCTTTCGCGTCACAAATATGTTACGAAAACTCTTTTAACCCTTTGCACTCGAAGCCATTTTAACTGGAAATCTAAATTAATTTTTCCGACTTATGGTATTTCCATTTTGTATGACAAAGTGCATTTTATGCGTATGAAATTTAATCTTGTGACTTTATACAACAATTAGACTTTTAACAAGTTTTTACGTCTAGACTTTTGTAATATAAGAATTATCTTGAAACGTGATGTTACAATTTTAATGGTGTCTCGGAGTCACCACTCGAGTGCAAAGGGTTAACTATTAACACTGATTTTACCACCGCCGGTCAAATGATGCCAGTTTCACATTTTTTATCACATAATCATCGAAGATCGTGAGGAAGCTGCTTCTGTTAAAAATTGTCCACTGTTAAAAACTAATCACTGATCACTAATCATCCACTTTCGTGCGCAATCCGACCGCTAATTAGGTGAAAAATTGTTACACCGTCGACAAACAGCAGCTGCGATCGCGTCGCCATTTCCCCGACGCGTTTAAAAATATAAAAATATAATAGCAAAATATAAGAATATAATAATAAAATATAATAATAAAATGTAAATAATTTCATAATTTTTAGGAGAATTACTCTTTCGCAAATACGTTATACATTCTCCTTTAACTATTAACACTGATTACCACCGCCGATCAAATGATGCCAGTTTCACATTTTTTATCACATAACCATCGAAGATCGTGAGAAGCTGCTTCTGTTAAAAATTGTCCACTAATCGTCCACTTTTGTGCGCAGTCCGACCGCTAAGTAGATGAAAAATGCAGCACCACTGACAAACAATAGCTGCGATCGCGTCGCCATCCCCCCAACGCGTTTAAAAAAGCGTCGCGCGCCTTTTTCGGTTCTCCGGAACAAAATTCTGAAAATCGAGACAATCTGTAACCGAGAGGAACATCGCGACCGTTTTGAATCGTGCG